ATGATGGGTTTGCAGGTTCCTTCCGACAATACTCGCCCCGGAAAGCAGACATGATCTAAAGACTACACAATATAAAAAAACTAACATCAAACTACAGTTACGTTATAAAGTAAACGAGAAATGTATATTTAGTTTAGGAGAGATGCTAGTTTTAATAATATGATGAACAAGATATAGCTTTGCAGTTCTGACGAGATTCTATATTTATTTAAACAAAATAAATTAAGTTTAAATGCTTAATTGTTGGTTATACTTGCCTTAGATTTAACTTGAAGCGAAGAAGCTCTAAATGTCATTGTCGGGACAAATAAATCTCTCATTAACTGGACTGGCCTTTGTGCCCGATAATCTTCGAGTATGATCACGCATTCTTCTGAGGAACTTTTTGAATACGATTCCTTATATTCATCCATACAATAAGAACAAAAAACGTTTCTATAAGGATAGACAAGATCATGATATTGTTCAATTGGCAATGATAAACATGCATCCTTATAAAACACTTGCTTAGTATTGGATTTCGTACAGACCACCGCTTTATCCCATAATTCCAGTGAATTGGACGACATGCAAAGCTTGCATAATTCATGTTTATTCCTGCAAGCAGTTAAAGAAGGCATGTGACTTTTATTTTTATACTCCCATTTTTCAACTTTGTTAGTTTTAACTTTTTCATCTGTCATGACGTTTTACATTCATTGATTGCTCCTGTAGTTTTCATTTTCTCCGTTGAACACGTAACGGCATCTTTAAAATTATATGTAACGTCACATTTGTTCATAATGGCCTGTTCAAAAACCTGGCTAAAGTGAATTAAAAAATCAAACTGTAATAAACTATCACATGCAATGCTGATGTCGAATATTCTATATGGATCCATAACAAGAGAATTGTTTGTAATAGTATAATTGGTATTACAAAGGAAACAGAAAACATTTTTGTAGGTAACTCCCTTTGATAATACAAACAAGTCAAAGTCATCCAATTCGCCCTCACATAGTCTCTTGATCTTTTGTTGGTTTATGATGTTTGCAGCATTAATTCGCCGCTCATAGCATACACTTATGACTTGTACTGTGGTTACTTCCTTATTAGAAATATAACTAGAAAAAACTGCCCTTGCATTACTGACACAACCAGTTGGATGAAGCAACGTTGTATCCAAGCAACAGCTACAGGGATTTTTGAATAAACACGCAAAAGAACAGTCACAGTTTCTTAAGGTAATGTTTTTTGTATTTTTTGGCAAGATAGTTCGGTCACAAATTCGATGTGGATAGGCAGCGGCCATTTCGAATAGAAAAGGTTCGAACTGATCTGTAATGTTTCCAGTTGAGTTGGCAGGATCTGTGGTTAGGTTCTCTGTCGGTTTCGCATTTATGATCTTGTTGATAAGTGATTTTTCATTGAATTCATTGTTGTAGAAATATAACCGTCGTCCTGTCAACATTATATCCCTGTCTTCAAAACTTTCATCCACATCACTAGAAAGGTGAGGAAAAACATATCTTTTGGCCTCATCGTTTAGGTGAGGAAGATTTCCGGTGTCTTTGGATGTTGGAATGTTACAGGCAAAACAATAAAAATTTCGATATGGATATGTCAGATTTGACACCGGATTATCCTGACACAACTTTTGTATTGTTTTCGAAACTGATTTTGGACAAGTATTGATAAAATTCTGAACTCTTTTGATGCTTTTCAGTTTGCACAAGTAACAAAAGACGTTTCTGAAAAGTCGAATCTCGTTCACATAGGAGGAAGAGCACGCCAAATGAAGGTCTTCATCACCGGGACAAATTTCTGTTATATATTCATCATCTCTTAAATAGAAAGGGATTAGGATATCATTGAGACTTGCTGGAGGGATAAACGAAACAAAGCTATTGTATTCTTTTATCAATCTTTCAAAAACATCATTAGAATCTACAAATTGTAAGAAACTTCCATCTCTGTCAAGAGATATATCCCATTCCAAAAGGTCTGACTTCTTTTCACCGTTACACAAGGCACAGTGGATATTGTAGTACGTGTAATTACTCACTAAGGAGGTCACGAACGCTCTGTCTTTAATAGTGTAAGCAGGGTTCTGGCATCTATCTAGATTTTCTGCAAAATCTGGACAAGTATCAACCACGTGATATTTGGGAGGTTCTAAATGTTTGTTCTTCAATGACCCTTGGAAAACTGCGTCACGGAATCTTGTCAATTTCCCTTCGAAAAATTTGTCTGGACAACATCTGTTTATTTGAATGCAGTCATCCTCACAAAAACATGGCGGACAACGTGACGGCATTGAATACTCGTACCCTGTTAATCCCGGCCAGTCTTTACAAAGGCCTCTCTCTCCACAAGAATTGATATATATACCCATAAGTCTTGTAAAGTTTAGTTTTGCACATGTACAAAACATATAAAGTGAAAACATGAAAATCGACATCGTTATCATAAGGTACATAATGTCTTCAATGTTGTTGAGCAAACTGAAAGTTAGAATCATTGGTTTGTAATGAAAACTAGCATCTGCAGTATTTTATACTACTTCTACTCTAAATCCATTCATTACTTTCAAATGAAAGTACAATAAACAACAAACACACCATTTGGACATAGCAACGACACGCAGTAGCTTTATTTGTGCAGTGTACATAACATATGCAAAATATGAAAATCAATTTGTATATACAAGTTTATGTTGGATTGAATAAATCATGATAAAATTTAAACTTTATCGTGCTCTACGTGTCGTCCTAAACTGGTATTTAAACCACTATTCACCTCTTATATAGCCTTGCTAAGAGACCGGTTCTAAAGAACAACGTGATATACACCAGGTATTCGAATGAAAACCTTGTAATTCCGAAAAAGTAATTCATTATCACACCAAGTAGAAATTGATTTCTGTCTAATTCGTTCCTCAAACGATAGAAATCATATATATCTTTAGTATTATGAAATTGTTCACAAAATCAAAATGAATCATTTGTTTCATGTCACCGACACGCGTAGATTTTATATAAATAATTGCCCTTTTGAACAAAATACTGATTAAACTAAATTATTTTATTTACATTAAAAATTTGTCTCTTAGATACTTTGAAAAAATATTCTGTCAAGAACTGAAACACTTACCAATCAAAGAAAATACAAGTTTTGTTAAATCCCAACAAATGTCTATCAAAAATAACAAACTACTTTAAATAGTATTAATTGAGACAAAAACATTTTCACTGTATGCGAAGAAAAGTATCAGTTACAGTCTAGCATATTCAGAGAATGTCTAACATATGATTGTAAATATTAAAGTGCTTAAAATCGATTTATTTCTACTTCCTTCAGATTAATTCAACTCAATTGTTAACCCTGTATTATTAATTTTTGCCAAATGTCAACATGGCCAAAAAATATTTTTACAATTGCTCTAAAACTATGTGAGGTATAAAGTTAAAACTGTCACAGATTATAATTGTATCGTTGATTAACAGATAAAGAATAAATTGATAACAAATACCTAAAAAATATTCATCGAGAAAAAAAAAACATTTAAAAAAAATAATAAATTCCGTACTTTAGAAAGTATCACTTGAATACAAATATTTTTTTTTTATTGTTCTAGAGCTATTGTATAAATAAATGCTTGATCCTCTTAACCTTTGGCAAAACCTTAATTTACATAATTGAACATTTGACCTCGGAACATTGCGTCTATACCTAATCAGTACAAAACGAACATTGGGTTTAACCCACATGGAGATATTGTGTTTATTCAGCTCATTTACATATCGGCCATTAGAGCTGTAATGGCTAAAGATTCTATTGAGGTTTATATTGAGAACGTACATCGCAAAATTTTATATACCAACAATTCTTCCACTGATCTTTAACGTAAATATGAAATCTGTCAATTAGTTTCGAAGTGTTTGAGAAAAATAGAAGTATATGCTAGCTGGACAAATGACCAACAGAAAGCTTAACTATTGCTATCTTCCGTGGGATATTTGCTTTTCGTAAATACATCTTACATATACCGAAAAAAACACGTGACCCACATCACTTCTGACTCCGAAGCGGTGAAAATCGGCTCCCCCATACGCTGAAATCGACTCCCCCATACGTTTTAGCGACTCCTCCGCGTTACCCGTTGTATACGGTGGTTTACATCAACTAAACTTTTTTGGGAGGCTCACTTTTTGTTTTCTTCACTCTTTATACTTAAATTTGACACTTTAATACCTTGATTTTCTATGATGCTTTTCTATACCACACTTGTTGTTTCGGCCCGGTTTTTTCGCCCCTTACTCACAGATAGGCAAATTAATAACGGAAAATTCAAACAACAAACTGTAAATATAACTGGGCAAATTTGAAACTTGGCAAAATTGTCTGCACGTATCAAAAGGCAAAACAACTCTTTATACAGTGTACATTTATTTTACATTTTGAATATCTATCATGATTTACTTTCGCACTTTGATGTAAAAAGACGTTAGATGTATTATATTTTTATTATAATGATATTTATAAAAGATATATGCTTTTAATTTTTTTTTTAATTTATGTCTTATTTTGATGCAGTTTTATGTTATCAATAAACTCTAAAAATGGATTTGGAATGATTTTTATTTTTTTTTTTTAATATTTGATGTTGAAACTTCTAATACGTATTAATATTTTGTAGACACTAGCTATGGTTTACAAGGAGACATGATTCTGTTTGTAAATGAAACCTTACAACGGTTTCTTATTCTTCGATAGCCAAATCAGTAATAGTACATAAATTCTTCCATCGATTTGGAAATATCTTGTCATAAACATAAAAATATCACCATCACCAAATAATCTATAAAAAAAACCCATCGGTGATTTGTGAAGAGCACGAATTGTATTTATAATTTGTAATAATATATACTTTATAAAATTCTTCTTCGACAATGTTTCTTCAATATTAACTTGTTATCAACACCATGTGATCTAGATGACTTTACAACTTAATTTTAAGAAACAAATTCCACACTTTGTCTGACATTTTTCTAATCTTTAATTATGGTGATATTCACAGATGATCACAATCTTCAGACATCAATAGGTGGGTCACCATCGCAATGTTGTACTCTTATCTGCAATAATATAACAAAAATCTTTTTTTTTTATAATTTCGAATTATGCAATTTCTATATAACTTTTTAAAATGACATCGATTTTCAGATAAGTTCAATTAAATTCACATAGATTTCCAAATTGACATCATCTCATTCAACAAACACTAGATACTGAAACCAAATTGAATAAAAACATAAACTTCAAACAAAAGAACGCAACAATTAAAAAATCTTATAAAATTGATGGTAGGATGATGAATTATTAAAAAGTTGGATTTTCATAATTTATTCATTATCTTAATTAAATTCAAACCTCGTCTATAAATCCTTTAAAATTGTCAAATAACCCCCCAGCACCTATGACAAGCCCTGTCTGTCTCAAAAGAACCATTTCTGAAATAGAAAAACAATTAGTCGATCAGTCGATAGAGCGTTCGCTCGGACGGTCATGAGTTTGAATCTAAGTCGAAAAAAAAATTGATAGCAAATGTTCCTTCGCCATGCACTCGGCACTTTGAAGTGAAAGTTGCGGGTCTTTCGGATGAGACCTTAAAAACCAAGGTCCTGTAATTCGGCAGGTGTTGTTACAATAAAGATGCCTCACTTCTCAATGACCGCAGTTGCCGAATTATTGTCAAATTTGAAGCCCTTCACTGGTATATTCTGATATTTCTATATGAGTGAACAATTCTCGAATGAGACTGAAAACGATACAATCATCAACTTATCTTAAAAAGACTTACCTTGAATATACTGCTTTCTGTTCTCTTTATTGAGGGAGAAGTTAATTACTGTCCCTTCACGATCAAAGCTCAACTTAACTTCATTTAATGTATCGTCCTACAGTAAATACCAAAACAGAGAAAGACATTGAAGACTATTTTAAGGTCACCTGAGTAAACTCAGGTGACCTATTGCTATCCGTTTTTGTCCGTCGTCGTGCGTCGTTCGTGGTGTGTTAACATTTGAACATTTTCAGCTTCTTCTCTGCATCCATTCAACTCAACCAATTTCCACCAAATTTGGCATAAAGCATCTATGGGTAAAGGGGAACAAGAATTGTGAATTTCATAGTCCCTGCCCCCCTGGGGCCTGAGGGGCGGGATGAAAAGCACCAAAATTAATGCAATCTTTAAAAATCTTCTTTACTAATGGACATCAAGCAGTCAAATTGTTAGCATGAATGTAATAACCATTGAGTCCTCTACCAAAATTGTGAAATTCATGGCCTAGGGTCAGGAGGGGTTCTAGTGCTAAGGCGGGGCCATATAGATTATATAGTGAAAATGCATTATTTCTTAAAAATCTTCTTCTCTGCTCCTGTATATTAAATAAACTAACACAGTACATATTCATGATGAGAAAGAATGCCTTGTGCAAAATTGTGAATTTCGTGCATGGCCCCAGGGTCAGGGGTTCTAGTGTTGGGGGGGGCTCTATTGATTATATAGAAAAAATGCATTATTTCTTTAAAAATCTTCTCTGCTCCTGGATATTAAATAAACTAACTAAGTATATAGTTATGATGAGCAAGAATGCCTCTTCCAAAATTGTGAATATTGTGGCCCCGGGGTCGGTCAGGGGTTCCAGTGTTAGGGCGGGGCTTTATTGATTATATAGAGAAAATGCAGAAATTATTTAAAAATCTTCTGCTCTGCTCCTGGGTATTAAAAGAATAAATTTTGTATATATTTATAATGAGCAAGAATGCTTCCTTCATAATTGTGAATTTTATGGCCCCAGGGGTCAGGGGTTCTTGTGCTAGGGCGGGGCTCTATTGCTTATATAGTGAAAATACATTATATTTTTGAAAAGCTTCTCTGCTCCTGAGTATTAAATAAACTAAGTATATAGTTATGATGAGCAAGAATGCCTCTTCCAAAATTATGAATTTTTATGGCCCAAGGGTTAGGGGTTCTGATGTTAGGGCAGGGCTCTATTGATTATATAGTGAAAATAGATTATTTCTTTTAAAATCTTCTTCTCTGTTCCTGGGTCTTAGATAAACTAACTTAGTACATAGTTATGATGTGGAAGAATACCTTTGTGAATTTTATGACCCCAGGGTCAGGGGCTCTGTTGTTAGGGCGGGGCTCTGTTGGTTATATAGAGAAAATGCAGAAATTGTTTGAAAATATTCTTTTCTGCTCCTGGGTATTAAGCAGATGAACTACCTATATAGCTATAATGAGCAAGGGCCATTCTTCCTGAATCGTTAATTTCAACGCCCCTGGGTCAGG